CTTATAACCAGCAGTCAGCTGGAGTCTCCCTGTTTCAGGTATTTGAGTAGAATAATTTTCTGGGTCTGAGGGGTGGTTGTGTGTGATGACTCTTGAAATCTTAGAAACTACAGAAAACACACTGGACCTACATGAATTACAGTTTAGTCAGCATTTAAGCATATGCTTATATATGCTATAATACATTTTGGTTTTTTTTGTCAAGATTTATTTTATTTATGCATACAAGAGCTGGGGTATAGGCCAGAGGTGCGGTGGGGGTGATGGTGAGTAGATCCACCAGAGATAGAGTGGGGAGCAGAACAGGCAGATCCACTGAAATGAGCTGCTGAGGGGAGCAGTGGGTGAGACAGGAGAGGTCTGCTGTGCCATGTGAGTAGCTCCCTGGCTGGGGATCGAACTCATGCTGCAGTGGCTGTGGATAACTTCATCGTGCTGAGACTTAACCCCTTGCACCAACAGGGAGGCCCCTATAATGCATTTTGTTTAACTCCAGTCCTCCTTTTTTTTCCCAAGTGAAGCCCCTTGGCTAGATGAGCAGTTCACACCTTGAAGTGCAGGTACTCTGTCAACTCTTGCTCTGCCCTGGTTATCACTGGCTTCTCCCCCATCTCCAGCATATTGCTCTGCAAAATGCTCCTCTGCCCGCTTGTGCAGTGGCATCTGTGATTTTCATCTCTCTGCTCTGTGAAGTTTACTGGTCCTTGTTGCATCCTGACTCTATGAGCAGTTTTGTCAGCCATAGTGGATTTTACAGGGAAAAGAGCCATTTCCAGGCTAAAGAGAAGAAAATGCCTACCTTGGAATATCACCATGAAGAGCTCTGACTCCTTCCAGCTAGAACATGAGATTTTATTTTTAAATGGCTAAAATACAAATGAGGCACCTGGGCTATGGCGCCTCCTGTGACCTTTGCTTACTCCTATCATACAAGTATTATTCACGGTTTGGAGTCAAATATCAGAGAATAAGTCGTTAAACAAAGCAATGAAACAAGATTTTTCATTAGAAAGTCTGCTCAGTTTGAACCCTCAGGGTTTGTCTGCACATTAGTTCTTTCCCTTTTCCTGGGCTAGAAGTAATTGGCCCCACTCCTCGACACTCTTACCTGTGCCACTCATATCTTTAAGGCGCCTGTTCCTGCTGTCCCTGAATGAGGACAGCCTTCCTAGGGCAGGGGCTGTGTCCCAAGGCTGTTGTGAAATGCCTGGCCTGGACATGTGGCAGCCATGGCGCAGAATGTCTGTGGAGAAGCCTGCAGCCATCTAAGATCTACTGTGGATGCCCTCAGAGTCCGCCCCCCTTAACCCATGGAAAGGAGAGCGGGATTTTAATGTTGCACTCTCAGAAGAGAAAGGACAACATAGCAGAGCCCAGAGGCTCTGCAAAATTTGATGCAAATGCCTGCCTCAAAATTGAAGATGTTTTAAAAAAATTTAAGATGTTTAAGGGACAAAGAGAGAAGCCCTCAGTGAAAAGGGTCTGCCTCAGGCCACATTTACCTCTTGAGACTGTCCCCATTGTTCAGCAGTCCTTCTGCCCAAATTGCATCATCCCGAGAGAAGTGAGAAAAAGGTGGTCCTACCTCTGCCCTGGCGTGCGCTCTTGCTTGCCCGTTTGTTATCAGAATGAGAAGTCAGCCACATCTGTCCTCCTGGTGCAGATTATGTGGGTAGGAAATAAGGTTCTGCCTTTCTCTCCTTCAGTCTTTCTGTCTCCTCGCCTCACCCCCGCAATCTACATTCACACCAGACTCACACCCTTGGACAGACAGACTCTCGTGCTCAGGGCTGTTTCTTGACACTAAATCCAGCTGCTCATGTGAGTTAGAGCCAGGACAAACACATTAGCTCGTTTTCCACCTCACGTCTTCAGATGCTCGGGAAGAAAATGCATTAAATATTCTCCCTGTGAGCCTTTTACTAGGTGACTGGTAAGCATCGCAGATCCAGTCCAGCAGAAAATTTATTTCCAAGTAAATTGATATCAGAATTATTTATTAGAGTATTTTTCCTGCCAACAACTTAATACTAAAAGTTGGCATTTGAAAATCCAGTGAGAAAATCATGCTTGAAAATGTGAATTAAATAGCTCTTGCAGGCTACTCTTTGGCATTTTGAACTCGCCTGGCAAGTTAATTCTGTATGTCTTAAGTTTCCTCAGTTCTTATGAGGCGCTTTGGCCATGAGGCTGCCTCTGGTCCCAAACAAGCATGATACAGTTCACGCTCCTGGAGACGAAACCCAAGGAACTCCTCCACAACACTGGGGTTTCCCTGAAAATAAGAAACAAATAGGGCCTCAGCAGTGGAAGTGTTGACCTGAATGTTTGCCACTTCTTATCTTTTAGTAATTTTTTCTTCAGAAAGTTTCCAGAGATAACCTCATGAGGGTGGGGCTTGCAGTACAAAGAGATAGTTATAAAATACCCTTCCAGGAATTCAGTTTAATGGGCTAACATGGTAGTTCTTGGTGTCAGCTTTCTTCATTTCCTGGGCTTGCTATTTTTGGTCTGTTCTAACACAGGCTTTATATGTTATGAGAAACACTGGGAAATTTGGGACAGGCAAATGCAAAAAGGAAGGACACCTAGGCCTTACGTAGACCATCAGGAGTAATGCCTAGGCTTGTAGGACGGAGCATGAGTGAAGGACTCCAACATTGTTGTTGGAACCCATTAGACTGGTTTTCTAAGTTTATGTAAAATGCATCACCTCGACAGGTCCCTGTTCACATTGACATTTGCAGCAGTCACTTAATAAGCTCTAGCAGTTGTTTTAAAAAGTTCATCTAATTTAGCCACCCAACTGATGTCCCTTCCATTTCCAAAGGGCCCTGAGAAGTGTTGTTAAGTCATATAAGAATGCAAAGTCTTGAAGATGTGGGCTGGTCAGTGTTGGCCAGTCCTGGGGGTCTGATTTCATTGGTAGGAGTTCTGATTAAGGTTTTGAAAGTCAGGCCCTATATCCTGAGAGTGGGAGTGAGTTATGTGCCCTGGGAAGGAAGATGCAGAGGGCCAGGGGACAATCAGCTCAGTTCTCTTGTCTGAGCTCACGCAGGAGAGTACAGGCATTCTGTGGCCTCCTTCCAAGCCCTGATTTTCCATGGTCTGATAGCCATACTGTGATGGAAGACAGGAGGCTGGCCAAGGTCCGTCTCTGCTGTGGTTGTGACTAGTCCAGTGCCAAGATAAAGACGCCAACCCCTTACCTCTACTCTTCTTCACCCTTGTTGTCCCCACACCCAGCCTTTCTTGAGGCCCTTTTTAATCAAATCTAACTGTATCTCAACCACTATCAACTATTATGAAAGTGATAAGTGAAGTCAGCTGGCGACTTCAGATTGAACTGTCAAGTTCAGATTGAACTTATGTACATTTCACTGGTCCAAAGTCTATCTAGTCTACCTGCCCTGCAGGTCTGGGACCTCTGCAGAACTGCCCTGCACTTCTGAAACAATGACCCATACTCTGACACACATGCGTAGTCACTTTATAAATTTATGGTTTGGAGTGGATTTTTTTCAATGAACTATACACTTGCTACTAATAAAGTTCTATTCAAGTATCAAAGCAAAGAAGACTAGTGGTCACATAAAAAATAAAGGATCAAAGTCTTTGGGCCTCCCTGGTGGCACAAGGGGTTAAGACACAACTTATGAAGCTGTCCGCAGCTACTGCAGCACGAGTTCAATCCCTGAGCAGGGAGCTACCGCATGGCACAGCAGACCTCTCCTGACTTGCCCCTGCTCAATCTGCCTGTTCTGTTCTCCACTCTGTCTCTGATGAATCTTCTCACTGCCCCCCGCAACTCTAGCCTGTACCCCAGCTCTTGTATGCATAAATAAATAAATCTTTTTTTTTTTTTTTAAAGATTTATTTATTTCTTTATACAAGCACTGGGAATAGTCAGAAGCGCAGGAGGGTGAGAGAATTCACCAAAGCCAGAGCGGGGAGCAGAGCAGGCAGAAGGACCGAAGTACACTGCTGAGGGGAGCAGCAGGCGGCAGGAGAAGTCTGAGAGCCCTGTGGGACCCTCCTCCGGTGGCCGGGGAGCAGCCGGGGATTGAACCGGCGCTGCAGAGGCTGCAGGCAGCTTCGCAACCCAGCGCTCAACCGCTGCGCCACCGGGGAGGCCCTAAATAAATCTTAAAAAAAAAAAAAAAAAAAAGCCTTTAATCAGATTGTATGAGAACCTAGTGAGTCATCCCTAGATTTACAGAGTACTCCTCCTCTCCAGCCCAAATGTTTGAGCTGGCCGAGGCAGGATTTCCCTTCCTGCAGTGGTAGTGCCATTGCCACTAACTCCATTTCCTTTTCTTGCTGTTTACCTTTGACCTTAGACCTTTGGTCTGTGTTCTGAACAGGCTACTCCCATACACCATACACCTTATTCTATCTGAAAAGTCTTTCAGACATGGTTCGTGTGATGAAGCCATTCATCAAATATTACCAGTGCAATGTCCTTTCAAAGACCATTGAATGAATCAGGCTTTCCTTAGCTTTTCTTTTGTAGCAGTGTTCACAGCCTGATCTAAGGCTAGGAAAGAAATCCTATTCTTGGCTAATTACAAAATGGGCACTTCCATGAAAAATACAAGAAATCTTTTCTCCCCATAAAAAAAAAAAGTAAAGACAAAGCTAACCTCTGGTGCTAGATGCTTTATTTTATTTTTTTAAAGATTTATTTATTTATGCATACGAGAGTTGGGGTGCAGGCCAGAGATGTGGGGGGTGAGAGGATTCACCAGAGATAGAGTGGGGAACAGACCAGGCAGACTGACTGAAATACACTGCTTGAGAGGAGGAGTAGGCGAATCAGAAGAGGTCTGCTGTGCCATGTGGGTTGCTCCCTGGCTGCCCGGGGATCGAACTCATGCTGCAGAGGATGCAGATTGCTTCATAGTGCGGTGCTCAACCCTTTGTGCCACCAGGGAGGCCCTGGTGCTAGATGCTTTAGATGGAAGTTCTGAGAGTGGCTAATACCTGTTCTCATCATCCAGGCCAGTGAAAGGCGTGTTCACCTCGTCGTGTCCCGCCAGGTGCGCCCACAGAGTCCTGACATCTTCCAGGAAGCTGGCTGGAACAGCAATGGCAGCCAGTCCCCAGGGCCAGGAGACAGGAGCAACACTCCCAAGGTGAGACCCAGCCGGGGTATGTCCACCGCTCCTGCAGGGAGCTAGGTCTTGGAAGCCTGCTTTAGTTAGCATTTCTAAGTGCGATCTCTGGACTTCATCACTTAAGCACTATTTGACTTGTCTTGCAAAACTAAAAGTCCAAAGTCCTACTGTTAGGACCTGGTAAGATAACAGGTGCAACCTGTCCAAGGAGGAGAGAGGAAGGTGGAGGGAGTTCTGAAACCTGACCTTCCAGACCTCATATGTGGACCTGATGTCTAGTCTAAGTCAAACAGAAGTCTTGTTTTTCCAACAGTCATTCTGTTTAAGGACTGTTTCACATTCACTTTGAAATGAAATAAGAAGTCTGCTTGGTTTCTGGGGGTTTTTTTTTGTTTTTGTTTTTGGGGTTTTTTTAAAGAATTATTTATTTATTATTTATCCAGGCATTGGGTATAGTCAGAAGCACGGGAGGGTGAGAGAATTCACCAGAGCCAGAGCGGGGAGCAGAGCAGGCAGAAGGACCGAAGTACACTGCTGAGGGGAGCAGCGGGCGGCAGGAGAGGTCTGCGCGCCATGTGGGCCTCTCCTCTGGTGGCCTGGGAGCAGCCGGGGATCGAACCGGCGCTTCAGAGGCTGCGGGCAGCTTCGCAACCCAGCGCTCAACCACTCTGCCACCGGGGAGGCCCTGGTTTCTGGTTTTTGAAGATTCCTGTCTGCCTGAAAATTAAAATAACGTTCCCCTGATATTTTTAGTATATTTGTTTTTGCAGAACAGCCCAGGAAGATAATTTAAACACTTGAAGCCCATGTGACATTAGGGAGTATTGAGAATGTGGCAGACTAGAGAGGACATGTCTTGTACTATGGCATTCAATTGCAGAAAAATGTTTAAATACAACAGGATGAAGCAGAATGCATCTGTAGGTGGAATCCATTCTTCAGGTTGACATTTTGCAAACTCTTTCAATGATGTGGCTCAACCCATTTTGTACTTCTGTTTGTGGTTTGTGCCTTAACCTCTCCACTTGAATGGGTATCTAAGCAACACAAGCCTTGTTTAGAACAAATTCCAGGTCCTGTAGCCTTAACTTGGCATCCTATTGTGGTGACAATGAGCTTCAAGCCATCATTTCCCCAGGGATCTGTTTTCATTACATCACTTGTCACTGGGAAAAATAAAATCTTTTAGGTAGCCCATTCTTCTTGCAGCAGAGATTAGGGAATGCCTACCATGGACACTGGGCTTTGCTTCAGTTCAGGATAACACAAGAGTAGTTTCTGAGCAATGTAGGTAGAAACAATAGTCAAACTTTGATTCTGGAATATCTCTGCTTTTTGTGCTATTACAGTCTACATGGTGACATCCATCTCCTTTGTCCAGCCATCCATGTCCCATAAACCTATAAATTCCAAGTTTATTTACAATAAGCAATCTAGGCAGACCAAGTACATCCTGCTAGAACATTTTACGGTTAAGGACTCCCTGATGTCTTTTCACTGGTAAATAGCACTGGCGTAGGCATAGTAAACTAATGATATTTATTAATGGAAAACTAGTTTATTAACTTAGATTTTTTTTTTAAAGAGGCATGGTTTTTTTTTTATTTATTTATTTGTTTGTTTTGTTTATACATGCACTGGGTACAGTCAGAAGCGCGGGAGGGTGAGAGAATTCACCGGAGCCAGAGCGGGGAGCAGAGCAGGCAGAGGGACCGAAATACACTGCTGAGGGGAGCAGCGGGCGGCAGGAGAGGTCTGCGCGCCATGTGGGACCCTCCTCCGGTGGCCGGGGAGCAGCCGGGGATCGAACCAGCGCCGCAGAGGCCGCGGGCAGCTTCGCAACCCAACGCTCAACCGCTGCGCCACCGGGGAGGCCCTAACTTAATTAGATTTTATCTGATTAACTAGTTGAATTAACTAGACTATATTCTACTTCATTAAACCACTAAGAATGATGCTTCCTCCAGCACTGTGATTTTATAATTCCTTCCATCTAACTTCCATGAATCATGGAAAGAGCCAGAATTATCTGATCAGATTTTTGCCACAACCCTCTGTCCTGTGTCCAATTCCTGGAAAACATACAAAACAAACTGGCCTAGTGGAAAATTGTAATTATTTTCATTTTAATTTATAGTTTTGTTGACCTTCCAAAATACCCTCCTACAAAAAAAAGTGACTAAATAAAACACAAATATATAGGGCTCTTTGATTTCATTTTTTATGATCTTCATAAAGTTTTATTTGATTTAGAAACAGCATGGATAGTAGAAGCTTCAGTGATTCAGAAAAATGCCAAAGAAGGCCAATCAGGAAATGTGGGACAGAAAATATTTTAGCCATGTGAAAAGCTATGAAGGAATCAAACTTAGGAGCATGGTTACCTCAGTGGGAGGGAAAAGGGAATTGACCAGAGAAGTCATGGAGGGGTGTCGCTGTGCACGGACTTGTGTTTCTGACACTGGATGCATGGGACATGGGTAGGTCTTTATGTTTCGTCTTCATACTTATTTTAAATGTCTAGAGTGTTTTATTTTTAAAAAACTAAAGCAAATATTGTGTGTGTTTTTATTGCCAATGTCATGGTACACAGGAACCCTAATATTGCTGTCTGGAGTGGGTAGGTGCATTGCTCTGGGAGACACAGGACACATTTCTTACCAGAGGCATTCTTTTCCCTGGTGCTGAGCCCGCAGGAACTCAACAGGGCCACCCCTCTGGGCAGGGCAGCAAGGCTGTTTGGCGAGCACTAGGAAGTGTGAGAAGACCGCTCTCCAGCACTTGTATCTAAAAGCATAGCGGATGTGTCTCTGCAGCCAGGAGGCACAACTTTCAGCATTCAAATCTTGTATGTCATGTGTTTTGACAGAATTGAATTTGGGTTGTGTTTGCTAGTCAGTGAGATAGTTATAGTCATTCTGGAAATATTAGGTAATTGTTTCATACGTTTTCCTGACAGTTACCTGAAAAGTAAGAGACTTAGGTCATGTGTGTTGCCTCTAAAGGTAGCGGTGCAGTGGGGAAGCACACTGTGCAGCCGGAAGCCCCAGCTTTCGGTTGTATCCAATGTCTCTGCTGCCAGCTATTTCCTTCATCAGATATTTTTAAGTTGAAATGTTTTGCCTGCCTTGACCCGTTTAAGCAGATAACAAATAACATTTCCAGCCTTTTCCTAAAAGAGTATCTTGCCAGTCTATGCACTATTCAGACAACATTATTTTGCAACAAAACAATATAAACCTCATTCTAGTCCTGCTAACTAGAAAAGCAGGAGAGAAGCCATTCTCAAGTCTGGAATATTTCATAAGACATATAATGTTGCTGCTTTCAAATGAACTTAGCAATATATTTTTTAAGTAAAATGTTTCCAGACAAAAGTCATATCTTCCTGTCAATTGCATTTCTTTTAGCCATAAACCTGCAGTTTATGGGTATTCTTACCCATTGCACAGGTAAAGTCAGCAGCTCAAATGACAACAAAAGATGTTCAGATTAACTACTAGAAAGCCAATTAAATGATTGGACTATCCTTTCCATCTGGGAAAATATTGTAGATGATAAAATTCAATGTAGGATATTAACATTTTCACAATGTATTGGTGAAATATGTGAGATAGAACTGTTTCAAAAGGAATTTATCAATATGAAAATGTAAAATGTTCAGACTCTTTGCTTTAGCAATTGTACTTCTAGGACATGAGCCTAAAGAAATATTTACACAAGTGCACAAGATATGTGTGTCTAAGGATGTTCACAGTGACAGTGTTTAATTTTGCAAGGGAGTGTAAACAACCCAGATGGTCATCAATGGGGGAAAGGACATAGCTCCATGATGAAGCACTAGGCAGCTGCTGAAGAACTAGGGCAGTAGGTGGGTGGATAGATAGCAAGATAGATAGATTGTATATATATATATATATAATCTGTGTGTTCATGTATATAAAATATGTATGTATTTTAACATGAAAAGTTGGCCTTGTTTTCCATAGCATTCTGTACTGTGTTTTAAATTTAGATGTCACTTTCTTGGGAAATAAATCAAATATCCCTACAGCATCCCTGGACCCCATGTGAAAAGTTAATGGAGTTGTGAGAATCAGGGGTAAATGTTTCATAAATACCACCAGGAATGATTTTAAGCAACTGGGGATGTGTTGTCCTGAGTTAGAGACATTCTGTAACTGCCTGCTTTGCCAACTGGGGTTCTTTGAGAGGTGTTGGTGATTTTTATTCTGCATCTAATTGCTTTTCAGAAGGGAAAAGTCACATGCTGAGATTTACCCTTGAGAGTCCCTCCAAATTTACTCCTTGGCCTCAGTTGGAATGTTAGGACTTCAATATTCATGCCATTATCTATTTGTCTTATTTTGAAACTTTTCTCCAAGAAAAGTTCTATTTCTCTCTTTTATCCTCATCTCGTAACCAGACTCTTCAAGACTCTTCAAGGTTCTGGGGTTTATGTATGAACACAACCCAGATCTTACAAATAGTCATGATAGAATATATTGTGTCTCAATTATTTATAATTTCTGATTTATTCTTCTGTCATTAGCAAAAACAATTTGTGGCAATTTTCAATTCATCCATTCATTTTATTTGACATGTATTTCCATGTGCAGTGAGCTAAGTGCTAAGTTCAGTGCTGGAGTTACAGTAACAAGCCATTACTATATACAAGGTCATTAAAACAGACATGGGTAATTATTTATATTATAAACTTGTTTCTTTTATTTTTTTATATTTTTAATTTTTTTTCTTACATTGTTGTAGTCCCCATAGTTATCCTACCACTTTATCACCCATGAACCATCACCATGTTCGACATGGGTCATTTAAAACCAGAGGAAATCATGAGATAATAAATGCCCAAAAAGTCAAAGCTTATCTTCATAATGAAACATAATGAAGTTCTGTATGATGTCAACCATCAAATCTATATGAGCTTCATTATTATTTATTTAAATAGATGATATATTCACAGGAGTCAAACCCTGGAAGTCATATATTTAGAAATCTCTGATCTGCCCAGTTCCTACCATCTACCCCCATGAAACCACTTTATATTCTTTATGAAATACAAATAATACCAATTCTCATCTCCCCCTATGTTTTCTTCTGTTTTATGGTTTATGGTCTGATATCCATGTCTTCAGTCCATTTTGAGTTAATTTTTGTGCATGGTAACTGCATATCACGTAGAACTGCTGAGGTCAGAGAAAAGGCACTAACTGGAAAGAACCTACATACTGGAGTTTTTAGGGTGTAATTTTATGAAATCCATTTTTCTGAGGATTTCCAGAATTAACTTCCTGCATATATTAACATATATCGATTTAATTAAAATAGTTACTTTTTCTTCACTTAGACAAAAATTCCCGATATTCAATAATGATAAGAGTTTTATAAAACACTGACTCACTGCTATCAGGAATAAATGAGTCACTTGAAAAATACTGGGTATAGTTTACTTTGTATGCTTAATATTTCTCCAGGGGTCTCCAGCCTCTTCCTCCTTCCGTTTTTACTGGTCCTGTTTGAAATGTAATCTTTCTCTGAGTCACCCTATATAGAATTTGGGAGAATGTAACTTTTGGGAGTTGGCAGGGACAAGGAAAGCACAACAAGAAAGCTCTCTGCATGTCTTTCTCTGAGACCAAGAACCACCCTTGCTTACTTATGTGATTTTGGTGGTTTTTGTATGTAGGAAATGCAGACCCACTTGTGAATAAATGTGCCATGTTTGTTTTTCTGTCTGTGCCTTCAGCCCCTCCACCCCACAGTCACTTGTCATGAGAAGATGGTAAGTGTCCGAAAAGACCCCAGCGAATCTCTCGGCATGACCGTTGCAGGGGGAGCATCACATAGGGAGTGGGATTTGCCTATCTACGTCATCAGTGTTGAGCCTGGAGGAGTCATAAGCAGAGATGGAAGAATAAAAACAGGTAAAAAGAAGGGAGTCTTAAGGTCCTGGGACAGTGAAGGGAGATAGCAGCCTGCCAGGTTAGGTTTCTGTTTCCCAAATTAACAAGAGGGTGTGATCTGCCAGGTCACCTGTTAACCTACTGACCATGATTGGTTAAAGTGATTTGTTAGGAGAGAACGTGAAATTATATGATACAATACATGGAAATGGGCCTGCGCATAGTAGGTGCTTCATCAATGGTAGCTATTATCACTTTTTCAATGAATGGAAATGTTAACTCTTTCTATCTCTTTAAGAACACATTCCAGCTCATTTTTTTCTTAACTGTTATAGACTCCTCTGCCAGGCACACTCATGAGTAATTTCTTTTCATTCAACCCATATCTACCAGGTGCCTGCTGCATCCAGGCTTTCTGCATGTGCTGCGAGCTTTTGTCAAGTGGTCTCCCTTTGTGCTAAAACCAGGAAACAAAAAAGGAAGGAGATAGTAGCTTTTCTTTGATCAAAGAGTCATTAAGACCGATTTGTCTTCGTGCTTCCTTTCTTCCTTGTTTACTTCCTTTTTGTAAGGCCAAATACCAATTGGTATGCTTTAGAAGTCTCCAAACATGACTTACTGATGCTTGGAACATGCACAGATTCACAGTTCACTTGGGAGCCCAGCCCCATGTCATAGCAGGAAGATGATGCCATGCCCCAACCCTGCCTCCTCCCGGCCCCAAGTCAGTCCCTGCCCCCCAGCCAGTCCTTGCCCCTTTGCCCTTGAAGCAGAAGTTTCTGTGCATGCTCAGTAACGATGACCTCTTCTTCTCTGGCCACTAGGTGATATTTTGTTAAATGTGAATGGGGTTGAACTAACAGAGGTCAGCCGGAGTGAGGCAGTCGCCTTACTGAAAAGTACATGCTCCTCTGTGGTACTTAAAGCTTTAGAAGTCAAAGAACACGAGCCCCAGGAAGACTGCAGCAGCCCGGCAGCCCTGGACTCCAACTACAACACAGCCCCACCTGGTGACTGGTCCCCTTCCTGGGTCATGTGGCTGGAATTACCGCGGTGAGTCCTGGTGTTACATCCTTGGAGAGGTGGGGGAGGAACGTTATATTTCTTAGACCACTTTTGTGCTCTCGAGCTGATTTATGGCACTAGCATGTTAATGAGACCCAGGCTTAGTTGTGGAACTATTTGAAATAATTCTGTCTTCTCTTTTGTAACTCAAAATGCATGCAGAAATCCTCGGGCAGGATGAGAGCCTGGATAGGGAAACACCAGCATTCATGCTGCGAGGCTGGCAGGGCTGCCATGTACAGTTGTGTCTGTTGCTGATGCAGCACGGAGCTCAGCTGACAGGGAGAAGGGGCTGAAATCCAGCCTCCCCTGGAGCAGGGGAAGGTTCATCTTTCCCCAATTTGCTCATGGAAGCCCTAGTTATTTGCACAGAGGATGACTTCCCTCTGTGGTCTCACCTCTTCAGTGTTTGGGTAGCCCTGACTAAACATAACGCAGTACAGAACACTGCCTTCACCCCAATGATTAAGCATGTGCTGAGGAAGGACATGTCTAATTTCCTCTCTCCTTGGTTCCCCAAAAATTCTTGCATAAAAATTTCAAGAGTCAAGACCTCCCTGGTGGCCTAGGGGTTAGGTCTCAGCACTGTCACCTCTACGGCTCCTCAGCCAGGGAGCTGACCCACATGGCAGCAGCAGACCTCGCCTGCCGCTCCTTAACAGTGTATTTCAGTAAATCCGCTTGCTCTGCTCCCCACTGTGTCTTTGGTGAATCCTCTCATCCCCAGCACCTCTGGCCTAAACCCCAGTTTTTCTATGCAAAATAACTTCAAGAGGCAGCTGGATTGACATTTGACATTTTAGTGAGATAAACTGGAGCCTTTGAGGTGATTGTCTGATGCTGCAAGAAAGGATTTGGGGGTGGCTGTATTAAATAGCAATATGGGAAAATTATGTATTCAAAGGATAGATAAATTGAGGGTTGCTCACCAGCATCATAGCCTTCAAAGGATTGCCTTACTAATTCCAAATGCATGATTTAAATGTTAAGTATTAGAATGACTGAAGATGGCATGCTGGCATTGGATTAAGTAAAGGAAAGCAGGATGTTTGGTTTTAGTATTTTTTTTTTTTGAAGGTGGAAATAGGTCAGTCTCTGTTTACTTTTTTTTAATTTTTTTAAAAGATTTATTTATTTATCAAGCACTGGGTACAGTCAGAAGTGCAGGAGGGTGAGAGAATTCACCAGAGCCAGAGGGGAGAGCAGAGCAGGCAGAAGGACCAAAGTACACTGCTGAGGGGAGCAGCGGGCGGCAGGAGAGGTCTGCGTGCTGTGTGGGACCCTCCTCCGGTGGTCGGGGAGCAGCTGGGTATCGAACCAGTGCTGCAGAGGCTGCGGGCAGCTTCGCAACCCAGCGCTCAACCGCTGTGCCACCGGGGAGGCCCTTTTTTTTAAATTTTAAATGAGGTTTAAAAAAATCCATGTCTCAAAAACCAACTGACCTAATTATTTTTAAAATTGGTACATTGTTTAATCAGTTGAAAACTAAACATGGAGGCAGTTTTAAAATCTTTAAACATTTTAGAACTGAGCCTGGGTGGTAGAGGACAATGTTCCTTTAACAAAAATTTGGTGTTTTTTTTTTTTTTTAACTGTCATCTGTTCAATTAGCTTTTAAAATTTCTTGTGCTTGAAAGCTACTTTGTGAGGTGATCCAAGCTCCTGGCCATCCGTTTGTGGAAGGGGGGACAAATGTGAGATACTTGCAGTCCAGGTACAGCCAAGTGGCTGAACTTCGCCCCTCCACCCGTTGTCACTTGGTCTGGACACTGCGCTTCGAGGTTCTTACCAAGAAGACTAGAAAGGAAATGTGAAATGATGCCCTGGGTTTAGTCACCCTGGTGATTCTTTGTTTCCTCCATCCTTCCTTTCTTTTCCACAGTAATATAAGTACAGTAGAAACTTAGGGGGCACCAGGGTACAGGGAGGCTGAAAAGTAAGTCTTCCAGCCTTGTCCACTCCAGAGGTTATCGCTGTGACTAAGTCTGTGTGTATCTTTCCGGGGAGAGAGTATATGAGGGGTTGGCAGACTTTTTCAGGAAAGGATCCTAGTTTAGGCTTTGAGGATTCTACAGGCTGTCACAGCTATTACATTCTGCTGTTGACGCAGGAAAACAGCCACAGATAATTTAAGTGAGTGGCCATGACGGTGTTCCCATAAAATTTTATTTACAAAAACAAGTGATGAGCTGGAGTTTGCTGCCCCCTTGTCTGTGTGTGCGTGTACACACACATGCACACACATGCACACAAAATGGTAGTATATACTTTTTTTTTTTTAATAGAGGCATGTTTTATTTATTTGTTTGTTTGTTTGTTTTGTTTATACATGCACTGGGTGCAGTCAGAAGCGTGGAGGGTGAGAGAATTCACCAGAGCCAGAGCGGGGAGCAGAGCAGGCAGAAGGACCTAAGTACACTGCTGAGGGGAGCAGCGGGCGGCAGGAGAGGTCTGCGCGCCATGTGGGACCCTCCTCCGGTGGCCGGGGAGCAGCTGGGGATCGAACCGGCACCGCAGAGGCCACGGGCAGCTTCGCAACCCAGCGCTCAACCGCTGCGCCACTGGGGAGGCCCAGTATATATTTTTCAATCTAAGAATATACCTTGGGTATCATTCATATGCATACATGACAAGTTCCCCTATTTCTTTCTCCAGCTGAGTAGCATTCCACTGCATAGATGCGCATGTAGCTTATTTTCTACGTTCTGCTTTTACAAACAATGCTGCACCAATTCATGACTGCAGTGATGATCACTGCAGAATTGTAGTGTCCACTACTGATAGGAACTGGCTCAAGATATTATGGTACATCTCTACAAGACAGGTTGCCTGGGTATAAAATTGTCACTCAGGCACTGTGTGAAATAACACTGACTGGTCGTGTGAAGTGTGAGGCCTGTCTCATTCCTTTCCCTCTGTACGTGGCTTGATCTTTCACCTAATGTTCAAATTGAGTATTTTGGTTCTTCAGCACTTCAGATATGTATTTATTGGGTATCTTTTCTCTTTCATGTTCTCTGGAGTCATTTCACTTCTAATTTATTTTCTTAATTTTGATCTGTCCTTCATATTCCTGTTTTTAATAGTGTATTTGTAGCTTTGCAGCTACTTTCATTTCTGTAGGATTTCTCTCCTCCAGTTCTGTTGTATCAACTCATTCTCTTCTCTCATATTTCCCTTGGCATCTGGTATCCCTGCATTCTTTACCTGTAGACCAATTATTTCATTAGTATTTTAAATTCACAGTAATGTGATTGCTTATAAATTTCATTTTCTAGAGCATTTGTAGCATTTTTCTGGTAAGTGGTTTGTTACTGTTTTTACAGTTACTTTCCCCCATTTCTTTTGTAATGTCTGCTGGTTCTTTTAAAATCTTTTGAGTTAGATAAAATTTTCCTGGAGCAGTTATTTGCTGGAGGTTCATAATGTGGGGAAGGAACCAGGGCCATATTCCAGGTGATAGAAACTTCTGTTTCACCTCTCTCCCAGATCAGCTGAGATTCAGCCTTGCAGGACCCTCCCACACGGAAAGGCAACCTCCTGTACATATAAGTTATCTCTTTGGGTCCTTGTTGACTCACTCAAGCATTTCTCCTCTCCAAACTAGGCCGAGGGAAGCTCTGCTAACAGTTGTGTATTTCTCATGTCCCCATATGGAAGAGAGATTTTTATGGACCCCAGGGTTCTGCTGGCTTGGTCTGCACTCTCCAGCTGTGGGCATCCTCTCTTGCATCTTCCTTGACTTCAACTGCCTTGGCAGCCCTCACTCCTATAGTAACCAAGTTCTGTTTAAGATGGACTTTGCATTTCTGCTTCCAAGTCTCCTATAGTGATTTTTAAAACATAAGGGGAAACAATCTTCATGCCATTTTGAAACTAAAAGTTGGCATTTTCCAGAACTCCTTAATAGCCATGCCACATTAGGCCCTCAGATAATCTCAGAATTTGAGTCTTAGTTGTTACACTTTCAACTTTCAGTGTCAGGGCATCTACTCGTAATTTTAACCTTGACTACACAGAGCCCCCCCCAAATTCCAATTTCTTCTTGACTAATGCAATAGCACTGGCATAAATGACATTAGTCATTTAGCACAAAGTCCTAAGAATTATACCTCAGAAGTAATTTGCCTGAACTGTTAACAGATTTTCAGGTTGCATGTAGCTATTTTTTAAAAATTCACAGTAAAGACATTTCCCTCCAAGTTATACACTACTCGGTGAAATATTTCTCCCTTAGCTTGACAGATTTTAAGGAAACCCTTTTGCACTAAGGAATGACCCAGCCAGTTACCTAAAATGCTCATCAATAAAATAACATAGGAAATAGGAAATACATTGTAGCCATGCCCTCAGGTACAGCACCACACACAGAATGAATATACATAAAGGAGATCACATTAGTATGCTGGACCAGCGGGCGTCTGTCCCGAACTGGTAGATGTCAGATAATACATGCAGTGGCAGACAGAGTGAGTTGTAAAGACAATGGAAACGTCTCCCCCTCTACAATGGTGCTTTGTGTACCTGGAATGACACCTGGGCTGCAGCTCCAAATAGTCTTATTTATACAAATCATGAGAAGTGATTCAATTGGAGAGGATTCCGTAAACACTTAAAACCTGCTTTATTTTCTCTTGGTGCTTAGGGCACACACTCCACATCTGGAAGTCTTTCAGAACATGCTCTCATCTGGACGAGTAGAGTAATATATATTAGCTCATTTCTCCTCTTGCCTAAGAATTTATCCTTTTACTTCCCCAAAACTCTGAAAAACATTTTGATGAGGCTTGCTTTATTTAGAGAACAAGAAAACAGGTATCATGGATTTTTTAGTCAAAAAAACTCAGTTTAACCACAGGACAGGGACAGCATTAGGAACATCCAAGCCTGAGTAATAAATGCAACAGTAGGTAATCCTTCTATAACCCTTTCTATGTGCCAGGTCAAACTCTTATCCACTCTATGATCCAGGTACTATTTTCCTTAAAGATAGGAAACGAAGCACAGAGGAGTGCTTAAGTAACTTGCCCAGGGTTATATCGCTAAGTAACAGGCAGAGTGGGGATTTGAACCAGGCTGACTGGTTTTAGACTCCATGACCTTAACCACTATACAGTAAGTTTGGTAAGCATCCTTAAATGGATGCAGAGTCTACGCTTAGCTTTTATGATTTGAGCTATATAATTTTTCCTCTCCTTACCATAAAGAAGTCAAGCAGGAGTCAGAATGACTCAGACTTTTGTCGTTGAGTGAGTGGGTATTTCATGTGCCACCAGCAGAGTATGCTAAAGCCTTCATTACTTACCTGAGGCCTCAATTTCTTGCCATTTCCTTTCATCATCTTCCGTGTCAGAGAGATGATGATGACTGCTAGTAAGTCAGTCAACCAAAATCAAGTGAATTACTCATGGTCATTTTAAGAGCAAAATTGTTTTTCAAAGCTTTTTCTACCTTCCCCAAGCTAGCCTCTGTTTAAAGTGGGATATGAATACATTTTAATATTTGTTACAAAGATGGGTAGGACCTCCAAAAGAAAAGAATACCTGTGGTTCTGCTTGGCAGGAATTTGTTGAAACAACGATGTAAAATATAAAATAGTCTAGGGATCGCCCTCATGGTCTCAGTCTAGAGGGCAAAAAATTTCATTACCATTAAAATTATGTAGGTACAGGCTACTAGAAAATACATTAGAGTGAATGATAGTAAATTTCATCTACCTGGAGGATACAACCAAAATAGAAGAGTAGGAATAGCAATTATTTTCATAATCATGCTGCATAAACTAGCCACAAAACCTCAATTATAGGCAATATTAAGACTTCATTATTTCATGAATCTGTGGAGTTCAGCTGATCTGGACTAGGTTTGATTATGGCAGGTTCCCTCATGCATTTGCAATTCTGCTGCTCTTGGCTGGCCATACTATCCTATCTAGGGTTTGGCTGGCTGTGGCATATATCCACTAATGTTCTTGTGGCTGAGTCCAGAATCAGAGTAGAATACCATAAAGCTATGCAATAAAGAGGCATGGAACGCTTGCCACATGAAATATTCAGTAAGAGTTAATGTAAGGTGCAAAGTGATATGAAAAACAAGAGTGGTCAAAAGAATAAAAAACTATTTCAAACAGTGTGTGTACCAACTGATTTATTTTAACAATTCCAACTCGGAAATGTTAAGACAGATAGTGGATCATGATTATGATTAGAATCACTTAATTCTATGCTCTGGTGTTGGAGTCAGTGAATTACTGGTTTTGTACACAAGCAGTTGGTGAACCACTGTGTAAACGTGATTAACACCACAGCTCCTACAGGATGATTTTACTACGAACAGATCTTATTGCGTAATATAACAAACGAATATTTACAGTCAAAACATGAGCTTTCATTTAATGAAATTCATTTTCAATTATGTCAGTGAAAATTAATATAAATAGTGTATATATGACACTGGATACAAAACAAAATTTAGCAGGTCTGAATTTAGCTCTACATTTCGAGTTATTCGCCAACAAACCCAAAGCAGTTTTTATTTCAGGTGGGAGTCGGTAACATCATGAAAAATCTAATGTTGATTAGTGATGTTGATAATAAACATAACTTACACATCACTTAACAAAACACATGAGACTTTTTATTGGTTTTTTTAAAAAAGGATTAATATTTTCAGGTACAGTTAATAAACAAAACAGGCATATCTCAATTTTTACCAACATGAAAATACTAATTTTCTGTCAAATCACTTCCTGAACTGGGGGATTTAAAGAGTCAAATCCAGCTCCTGATACAACCTGTCATAAATGTAACACAACTCGAACTAAACCTGCTATGTCAACACTGATCCAACTGACATGGACTAGTAAAAAATAGTCTTCAATCCAATTTTCTATGTTAGCTGAGGAGTCTACCCATTTACAGAAGATCTGTGGTGTCATCTCTCATTCCTTTTATAACTTGCTATTCAGTTTACTGCCTTGTTTTATTGCTTCAATATGAATCATTCCTATAATCTTTAAATGTATCTCAATTTCCATTCACTTTATGTATATGCTTCCCTTATAACCAAACAATTATATAAAGTATATTTTTAAGTAAAAAAAAACTTCAAATGCATTAATTAGTTAGGCTTAAATTTTCAGATTATTTATTCAAAGGATTTCATGTTCATTAAAATTTATATCCACATGAATGCTTGAATTGGTTCATCAGTAAGAATTTACACATATTTAACTTTTTAATATAAATTGAGGCATTATATCTTTATGCCAAAAATGATTTTCTCAGTAGATGTATAAACAGAACATAATAGATGGTATCACTTTTTAAAAGGCGTTCAGCTATGGGAATCAGAAGTTCAATTAGAGTAAGTCAATAGCGCAAAGTTCACTGGGCTATCACACACAATTTTGAGAAATATCCAGTGCAATTTAGGCTTTAAAAGAGTGGGAAGGGAGAGAATCAGAAATGAAGCACAGTAATTATTCCCTAAGAGTTAAATTTAACTGTACATATACACTGATTACATTCTATTTCAGGTACCTGTATAACTGTAAAGATGTTATATTACGAAGAAACACAGCTGGAAGTCTGGGCTTCTGCATTGTAGGAGGTTATGAAGAATACAATGGAAACAAACCTTTTTTTATCAAATCCATTGTTGAAGGAACACCAGCATACAATGATGGAAGAATTAGGTAATAATAATGACTACTTAACAAAAAACTTCAAGTATTATATATGCAAAAGCTTGGCCCCATGTGAAATAAGGTATACATTCTTTTTACCTTTATTATTGGTAAGAAATTAAAACATTTGTGTAGCATTCAATTTTTAAGAACTCCAAAATGATCACTTATTCTTGGTCCCATACAGCAACTTCCTACATTTAGAATCCCTTCTAACACAAACTGAAAGGATAAGGCTTACATAAACCGCTTAATCAGAAATAATGTAATTAAAACTGGCAGATGTAGCAAATCAACAAAAACTTGCAAATCAAAATGTTAATCTTATCTTTCTGTTTTGGTTTTAGATGTGGTGATATTCTTCTTGCTGTCAATGGTAGAAGTACATCAGGAATGATACATGCTTGCCTGGCAAGGATGCTCAAAGAACTTAAAGGGAAAATCACTCTCACTATTGTTTCTTGGCCTGGCACTTTTTTATAGATTCAAAGATGGATGGGTCAGAAAAAAAATCACAAGTAGACTAAGCTGAAAAACTCTTCATCAATTTTTGTACATAAAGGATACATTGTAAAAATGTAAACTTTAATGATCTAATCAAAGTCAACTACACCCTCAAAAAATGTAACTCAAAACAACCATTACTAATAGTTTTTATTCAGTGTGGAACATTTCTCTACAATGTATATTTTTCTAAACAGTTGAAATGGTTTGTATGCCCCCAATGAACTCAAATCATACAATTTGGTATATGCTGAGGTCTGCAAAGGGTAAATTATGGGCATTTTAAAAAAATTAAAGCCAGTGGATTTTAAAAGTGCACTGCTAAAAAATGTTCCTTTCATCAAAGAAGAAATAAATATTTTTCAAAAATTAGAGTTGTCCTTAATATGTGATACCAAGTTCATTTTTATTAGTAAGTTCTTAGTAATTGTTTAAAACCATGCCACCATCACGCACATATACTTTTTAAGCATTATCCCGAAAAATGCTCAAAATTAAACTTTGGATTTAATAGGAAATGATTCATCTAAAGCTCTTGCCATTTCTTCTTAACTGTATAAACTTCACATGCTGTTCAACCAATGTGCCTTGGAAAAAGCATTAAGGAAAGCCGAACCAGCTTGATCAGCTCCCATTGATGGCTATGAGGCAATTCCAACTTGTTTTCAGCGATGAGTGTTTGTCCATGTGCCTGCTAGAAACTAACCAAGGGCAAGCAAGCTATTTCAGAGGTCACTCAAATGCCTTTAGATTTTAATTTGCATATAAAAGTTCCCCATTTAGTTTCACCATGAACCCAAATTCAGAACACTGAAAACCTATGAAAAAGTTGTGATATCAAAACCGTACGAGTTCTTTAATATGCTAAGCAACAGTGCCACAGCAGTAATTATAAAAGACTAGTTTTAATCTCAGAGATGCCTTTTACAGTGCAACCTCTAAACTGGTATTTGATTAAGTCAAGAAAAATTATGGCCAAGCTGGGAAACCTTGACCTTTATCAAATACTGCATATGTACATAGCTAAACATAGCTCTCTAAATTCCCTGCTGAGTGACTCATTCACATTACTTTCTTGGATATAAAGTCATTACTGTCTTTAAATATTACAAGACAAAGATTTTTTTAACTTAACATGAAAAATCCACTTTTATTTTGGAGGAAAAGAAAAGGTTAACTTCGCATACTAACAGAACAAGATTCAAGGTACATTTCTCAAACATTATCCAGAAAAATAAGATTTATAGCATCTATTTCTGGGACTCATATACACAAAAGGCCATAACCATGCCTACTCTGCAGGTGCAGGTTCGGTGCTCTCCTGTTCAGGGGCGGGCTCACTGCCAGCTTCTTTTCCTTCTTTGCTTCTTTTAGATTTTTTGTGCTTGTGTCTCCTATGACTGTCTCCTTCTTCACTTTCATGTCGACGTCTACTATTACTGAAGAAAAGGAAAGGTGTGTACTTAAAAATGTTTTAAGTATACGCGTAACAAAAATCAACTCACTTTCCCTTGGTAAATTCTCAATATTACATTTAAATAATTTTTTCTCATATTCTGGGGAGTAATCAATTACATGGCTTTTATGCAGACTATATTTATAGATTCACCTTCAATGATACTGCCCTTGCTTCCCAGTGCCCATATACTTCATTCTGAAGGACTAATTATAAACTAGAAACTAAAGCACCAAATAAGAACAGGAAATATTTTCTAGGGTTGATTTAAGCAAACAATAGGCATTAAAATTTAATACTGATTTTTTTTTTTTTTTTGGGCCTCCCCGGTGGCGCAGCGGTTGAGCGCTGGGTTGCGAAGCTGCCCGCAGCCTCTGCAGCGCCGGTTCGATCCCCGGCTGCTCCCTGGCCACCAGAGGAGGGTCCCACATGGCACGCAGACCTCTTCCTGCCACCCGCTGCTCCCCTCAGCAGTGTACTTCGGTCCTTCTGCCTGCTCTGCTCCCCGCTCTGGCTCTGGTGAATTCTCTCACCCTCCCACGCTTCTGACTGTACCCAGTGCTTGTATAAATAAATAAATAAATAAATAAATAAATAAATAAATAAATAAATAAATCTTTAAAAAAAAAAATACTGATTTTTTTTTTTTTTGAGATTACAAGGCACTAAATTTCCTCCTTGATTAAACTGAACAGTTTCCATTAAAGATTGATTCATTTGTGAAAATACTCCTTCCCCAACGAAATAATGCAGTAAGTCTGATTCTCATTTTTTTTATTCCATGCTAATTTTGGTTAATGGACATTAATTATAGTGTTGTTAAAGAATCTTTGTTGAAGCCTAAAAGCAGTCAATTATTTCAACAGAATTACTCTTTACTTTCCAATTTAGGCACATTCTACTGGTTATTTGGCAATGTTTGCTTTTACTTCCTGAAGTCAACTCAATTTCTCTCTTAGCTTCACTATATTATTAAAAGAACAAACCTCCGAGATGACTTATGTCTGGTTTCCTCTTTCTCTCTGTGCCGTCTTTCTCTGTGTCGTTCTTCTTTCTCTCGACTTGCTCTGTGACGTTCATAGCCTCTTTCCGCATATTCCCTGTATCTGTATCGCTCTTCATCACTGAAATTGGAGTAGAAACAAGTTTTCTTGACAATTGGACTGTTAATTCTGAATAATTACAAACTGCAAAAGAAATTGAGACCTGAGTCCAAGCCAGAAGATGCCTGGCATCTTGTACAGAACAGGTACAAAATAAATGTTGAATTAAGAGGAAAATAATGCCATCCCCAGATTAGTACTAGATCTAACATAAGAATACAAAACATAATACATGTTAAAAGATCAATTTTACTGTTTTCAAAATTATGGGGTAAAAATCTTATATAGCAATGTTGTTTGTCTTCAAAAAGTATAATCTGTAATTGATTTAAGTTTTAATCAGTTTCTCTTTTACTACTTTTAGAATGAAAAACACATTTGTATAATCAGATTTCCAACCAAAATTCTTATGTGAAATCTTTGATAGAGTCAAATTTCTAAAAATACATTAAAATCTGACTCACGATGGCTACATGGGAGAAAGTAGGTAACGGTACTTATGTTTGTCAATCACATCAAGTTTATTCATCTAATAAAGAGGTATGAAAGTAAAAAAGGTACATCAAAGCAACTTCTACAACATCCTCTCAAAATGCAAGCAGGTAAGTGCCTATAGACATACTTGCAGTTTGACATCCCCGTTACTTAATACTATCTGTGCAGTAGGGGAGTGGGAGAATGCAAATGGCTAATAATAATTTCAAATATAGAAATTTATTTTTATTTTAATTTTTTTATTTTAATATTTATCATTTTTAAATTTTTTTTCAAATATATAAATTTAAACTGTACCTCCTTTTTCTGATTTTGGATAGCATGAACTAATGATAATGAGACTGAAAGCAAGAGTTAGGTTAGTTGTTATCTCCCTAATCACTGTCTTCTTCTCATGTCTTTCAATTAACATTTTTCTCTCCATATGCTCAATTTTTTTTGTTTGTTTGTTCAGTACAAAAGTCAGCGCTCTATAACCAACTATCAATACACTGAACTGAAGAAAAAAATATCTTTTTGGAGCACTGCATGCTACAGAGCGTTGGTTTCTAGAAATGCATCCTGAATACAAATTATTCAATTAACTTGAATGAAACATCAAGACATTAAGGAATCTGAGTAACAGGAGATAGTATTGGTAGAAAGTACAAGCCATATAGAACAAATCAGCCTGTGGTCTCCTGGCAAAAGTAATGATTAAGGGCCCCCTCCCACCCCCCCACCACCGGTGGGGCAGCGGTTGAGAGCTGGGTTGCGAAGCTGCCCGCAGCCTCTGCAGCGCCGGTTGAACGATCCCCGGCTGCTCCCTGGCCACTGGAGGAGGGCCCCACATGGCGCGCAGACCTCTCCTGCCGCCCGCTGCTCCCCTCAGCAGTGTACTTCGGTCCTTCTGCCTGCTCTGCTCCCCACTCTGGCTCTGGTGAATTCTCTCACCCTCCCGCACTTCTGACTGTATCCAGTGCATGTATAAATAAATAAATAAATAAATAATTTTTTAAAAAAAGATTTGTTTAAAAAAAAATGTAATGATTAAGTAATCCTATGCCTAATGCCAAGTCATACTGCTAACCAAGTTAGTCTCACCAACTGTGATTGTTACATTTTTTAAATGTTTTTTAAAGTATTAATACACACCATGTATACGTGCATACAAATATATGTACATGTTGGTATACACATGTACACATACACTTTTTCTTTCTAACCACAGACATGTACTTTGTATTTGGAAGGTGGAAGGAAGCATGCACCTGAAAGGCAATGTACCGTTAACAGGCAGTGTAGAGTAGGGTGCAGAGTGGATCCAGGATCACATGCTGACTAGCACATAATTAAATATATGACCTAGTGTGACTTAACCGCTCTAAATCTCAGTTTGCTGATCTGTAAAATTTGTGACAATCTTTTCCAGGTTTTTTGCAGCACTGGAAATTAACATTTATAAAGCACCTGGTATATAAGAGTAGGCCCTCAATGAGTAACAGCTAACATACAAGCTCACCATCTTCAGTAAATTTAATGCTGTAGTTCTCAGCAACATCACAAATGATTATAGTTAACTCCTGTTAAAAAATGAGGCTCCCTTTGTAATGCTTCCAATTAGAATTACAGAAAAATCAGTAAGGTCAGTTTATCTCATAGTTAATTGTTTTTAACTCTCTTTTCCCTATCGCCCTAACAAACTTGTCAGCTTTGATGCCCGTTAGATTCTGAGGGCAGTAAACCTTACTACAGATGATAGAAGAGTCAGTCTCACGCACAAAATATAAAAAGACCCCTTCTCTTCCATTCTTTTTTTCTGATAAGAGTCAGTCTCACGCACAAAATATAAAAAGACCCCTTCTCTTCCATTCTTTTTTTCTGATAAGCAGCTGCAGCACAAAGGTTTCTCTGGGTCTGGAAATCATTAGAACTCATTTCAAGCACCCTAGAATGAGCAGCCTTTCTTTCTAGTCCACAATTAAATTGCCAAAAAAACAGATGTTGAAACTGGTTTGTAATTTTCAAAACAACGAACCTGTAATTTGTAACACAACACATAGTACCTGCCATATCACTAAAATGTCAAGTCTTCAGGGGAAAAAAGAAACACGTTGTTACTTATATTTCACTTGGATTTTTCAGAGAACACTTTATCCCTAGATAATTCACAAAATTCCTCCTCCTTTTGCCTCTCTGGCCTTGAACTTTTAGTCATATTTAGGTAAACATTGACTCCTGCTGCCCTACAAACTTAGCAACC